TGTATACAGCTGTGCTCAATGTGTGTCGTTTGATGATGGTACACTGTATACAGCTGTGCTCAATGTGTGCCGTTTGATGATGGTAGACTGTATACAGTTGTGCTCAATGTGTGTCGTTTAATGATGGTAGACTGTATACAGCTGTGCTCAACCATTTGATAATTGGGATGAACTGTTATATGACTGGTTTCAATCAAGATACTTTTATTATTAGAAACAATCATCTCATCACGTGCTCTACTTATGTTCTCCTGCTTTCGGAGGAGGTTCCCTGAAGAGTTCTCACCACGCCACCCTGCAGCTGCCTCAGTCATCCCACACTCCCTGAACCTCCTGAGCGGCCACTGGCATCTAGGCTTGTGTCTGCCCTGAGTGATGTCTGAGCAATGACAGTGATGTCTGGTGACACACTTCTTAAATTGTGTCCCATTATTAAGGGACACGTGGCTGTAAATGAAAACAGGAAGTTGCTGGTTGCTCCACAGCTGTCTGATACTGACCTGAAGGGACTGTGGCTCTTCTCAAGGGGAACTCAGTCTCTAGACTGATAACCAAGACAGGGCAGGCCTGTGGGCAGGAGCTCCTCCCCTGGATAGAGCTTCCAAACTACCCGCTGGCAGATCCAACCATGCTGCAGGCACTGATCTGAGAAGCAAGCCATAACCTTGCTTGTCTGAGATGATCAGGGAAGCTGGAGGGGATCATAGGAGGAGGTACCCAGGTTTACCCTGTGTTGAGAAGTGTAACTGTGGAGCTGGGGAAATGGCTCGGGCGGTGAAGTGCCTAACTCGGCAGCATGAAGGCTCAACTTCAATCCCTGAAGCCCATGTTAAGAGGAGGGCTAGGTAGGGTGACCTGGATTTGTAATCCCAGGCAGTGACAGGTGGACCCTTTAGGCTAGCCAGGTTAGCCTAGGCCAGCCAAATCAGTGAATTCCAGGACTGGTGTGGGAGAATTGTCTGTATTCTGTCAATCATGTTTTAAATAAATGCTGATTGGCCAGGCAGGAACTAAAGGTGGGTCAACAAGACAGGAAGTAGAGGCAGGGCGATGAGAACAGGAGAATTCTGGGAAGGAGGAAGCCCATTCCTCCAAGTCCTTCCCAGATCACAGAAGAAGCAAGATGTGACCCGCTGCGCTGAAAAAGGTACCGAGCCATGTGGCTAACACAGATAATAATAATGGGCTAATAATGCGTTGATATAAGTTATAAGAGTTAGCAAGAAGCCTGAGCTAATGGGCCAATCAGTTTATAATCTTATGGAGACCTCTGTGTGATTTTTTTGGCAGGGGGCTTACTGGCTGTGTGTGGGAACTGGGCAGGACATAAACCCCAACAAGCCGGCCCTCATGTTACACAGGACAGTGACTAATATTATGCTTAAAAATACACACATTAATCTTGAGAAACAAAACAAAACAAAGTATAGCCAGGCTATGGAGGCACACACCTTCAATCCCAGCACCTGGGAAGCAGAGCCAAGCAGGTCTCTGTGAGTTCGAGGCCAACCTGGTCTACAGAGCAAGTTCCAGGATAGGCTCCAAAGCTTCACAAAGGAACTCTGCCTTGAAACATTAACACACACACACACACACACACACACACACACACACACTCACTCATACACCACCCCCCACCCTACCCACCACATATTAAGTCCTTAGTCCCAGAAATTGGAAGGCAAAGTTTGAGGCCAGCCTGGTCTACAGAGTGAGTTCCAGGACAGCCAGGGCTACACAGATAAACCCTGTCTCCATTAACAAAAGTATTTACTTATTTATTGTTGGTGAGTGTGTGTGTGTGTCAGGGGTCAGAGGCTAACACCCCACAGGCTGTGAGTGAGTGGCTCCCATTTATAGCCTATGACAGCATTTCTAAGAAATGACGCTGCTGGAAACCATCTATACTGGTGAGTCACTTACTTGGCTTCTCAGCTCCACCTCCATGCCTGTGGTGTGACCTGCATCTCAGCAGATCTCATCAGGTAATTCATTTGAATGGCTCCCTGTTTTGGGGAATCAAGCTTAAGCCCCTTGGCTCTCACGGTGGCCCTACACACTGTGCCTAGAAATGCTAGCGAGCAAGGGACTTCCAGCTCAGGCCAGGTGTGCTGTTTGTACCCCACTGTTTTTGCACATGTGGTCCTCGCTTCTTCCTTGCCTGGGTCAAATCTGCATTTCTCTGGGATAGTGCATACTCTGAGAAATGGTTTTGTCCTATTTAGCTTGCGCTTTTCAAGTCTGTACAGCAGGTGCTGGGCCCTGTGCATTAGTAGCCACTTAATATACTCTCTTCTGGCAAGGCCATTTGCATCCTTTTTCTTTTTCTCCTGTCATGTGATCACAGTCTGGGAGTGGCGTGCAGAACTAGAGTGGGGTCTCTTAACCCTACTGACCTTCGTGCACCTTGCAGGTACATGCTAACCATTGTCCTTCCAGGGCCATCCCAACATGCAAATGAACAGTGAGGTCACCGACTGAATTCCTTTCCCAGGCATCGGAGACTCAGAGTCGGGGGCTTGGGTTGAGCTAAACCTGCCTCTGGTACCCTGGAAGTGTAGGCATACTCTTGTTGGTATTGAGAAAGATGTTTTTTTTTTAAAGGTTCGAGTGTTTGGTATAGGTCTGCCAGCTTTTATTCTGCAGCCAGCCGGCTCTCAGCTTCTGGCAGCCCGGGTGCCGCTAATACCCATTAAAACAGGCAACATGATTCTATAGCACACAGCCCTCGGAGAAGAGCTGGTCACCAGGGCGGAAGGGAAGACCACAGTGTCCACTGTCTAGCCTCTTATCACAAGTTATACCTAACAGCCCCACCCTACTTCCTACATATATTATTTCCTTGGCCACATAGATGCTACGTGGCCTAACATAGCTGTGTGACCCGCTCATTAAAGATTCCTGTCTGATTAGAACAAGACTGATGTTGGGCAACATTTGCTGAGAAATCATGCTAGCATGCCCCTCGCAGACATCACGTCATTCAGCCTTCATCCTAGCTTTGCACAAGGCCAGCAGATGGCCTCTGTGTCCCAGAGGGCGAAACAGGTGATAGGGTGACCGGCATCCAGTGCTAGAAACTCAGGGGACAATGGCTGAATGAGGACTGGAACTCACGCAGACCAGAGCACAGCTTCCACTGCAGCCGTCCACACAGGGAGCCCTCTGGAGCCAACCAGCTCTGGGGGAGCAGAATGGAAGGGACCCAATTCCCAGAAACCTCCCCGAAGTCAGTGACACAATGACAGTGATAAAAGGAAAAGGGACGTTGGCACAGTGGAAGCCCAGAGTGTGACAGCAGGAAGCGTGAGAAACTGCTTCTCTGGTGAGCGTGATGGAGCCTCCAGAGGCACCAGAATGCTGGCCTTAGTGGTACGCACAGGTGTTCCCTGAAAGGGCCACCTCTGTCCGCTGATTCTGCAGAATTATTGACTTTACTTTGTGAATGTGGAGTGACAGAATGCTACAGATTGAGTGCCAAGTGGCCCCGGTCTGTCTTCAGCCCCTTAATAGTCTCTTGTCACTGGTTTCTGTACCTGGCCTAACAGCTTCGTGTCTGTTAGACAAAACCTTCAGAACAGAACGTACTGGTGAACTTAGCACACCAAGCTTCTCGCGAGCCTCAAGCTAAGGCTGGCGTCTGGCATCACTGAGGACTTTAGTGGAGTCCTTCCTGCTCAACTCTATCTAAACCATACAATGTCCCAGCCAATCTATCTGGTAAATGAGTGGATTTCTGATTTGTCGTCATTGTTGTTCAATGACTCTAAAGTCTATGTAGCCTCTTCCACAGCGAGACATGTCATTCCGGACAACTTGAATCTGTGTTCCCATATCATGATCACTCAAGTTTGGCTCAGAATAAATTCTTTTCCTCTTTGGGGGAAGAGCTGTGTTTTGCATCAGTAGTGGCTCTTGGGGTGTGAAACTTGCTTTGGTTCTTGTGTCCAAACGATGCTGGTGCCTGGTTCCCCTGCTCAACGTCCTCTGCATGACGTATTCTTGCTGTGGACGAGGGGAGGAGAAATATTGCCTATAGCTATATGCCCTGAAGGATGCTTGCCAATGTGCCCTAAAGGATGCTTGTTTGCCAACGTAGTCCTAGAGCCTCTTGCGAGACCTTGCTATGAACTTTAAAACATAGGTACTCAGGTCTGGATGGAAGCCCAGGAGTCTGTAGTTTGAAAAGCATACTTGGCAGTTCCTCTTCATGCTCAAGGGGGATCCAATCTGTACTTTGAGGACATGGCCAGCAGAGACAGATCATGGTAGAGTTGAGCTGATCCCCACTCGCTTGGAGAGCCAAGCCCTCTGACCCATGAATGCAGGAGTGGGAGGGTGCATCGTTCAGTCTAAGGGCTCTGGGGTTCTCCACAGCGATGAGGTTCCAGCTTTAATGAGGCTAGGGATGTGATTGCATGAGTCAGGAAGGGGCAGTCCTTCAGGTCAGACAATACCTGGACTATAGAAGGTCAGTGAAGAGCATGAACGTGTATGGTTTTGTCTACTGACTGCGAGGTGGAACATTCTAGGAGAATTTGCCCTGTTCTCATTTCATTTCTTTCAGAGATATGTTCAAATCGTCGTTTTGGATTCTTGAAAGTCACAGAAGATTTGCTGGGAGGCAGAAGAAAAAGTTCCTTTCCAAAGTCCAGTGATGTTGGCATCTGAATGGAGGAGCTGGGCACTAGTGCCATTTCAGGCACGGCCTCCCTTGCAGTAGGGACACAAGAACTGAAGGGAGCCCCAGCCTTCGAGGGTATTACCAGGAGTGATGGGCATGCATGCAGGGCAGGGGGATGTTGTTCACAGCCAGAAGTGTCTGAGAAAAAGCTGATTAAAGACATCTACCCCTGTTCTTTACCAAATAAGATCTGAAGTGCTTTAACGCGTTGATGTGCACTGGGAATGCTGGCCGGAGTAGATGCTCTAGCCTGCCAGAGGACTTGGACAAGCATTTAGTGGGTGCACTACACACATTAGTTCCTTCTGTTATTATTATCCACTAGGGGAGGTGTAGCTGCTGTCACCTGACCAATGCAATTGACGTGGCAGTGTTCCTGGTCACCTTAGTCTGGGCTCTGGGGGCCTATGGAGGACTCTGTTGCTGTGAGAAGAGTGGATGACCCATCAGATGCCAAGCGTCTAATGTCGTTAAGAAGGGACACTGGTGTATCTTGTGTGTCTTCTCTCTCCACTGACATTGGAATGAGTCCTGATGCACTCAGTGTCACCCACTGCTGGCCACCACCTCACCAGAAAGTTTCATTTACCACCTCAGCTCCTGGTCCAAGGATGGAATTTCATCTCCTAGAAAGCACCTAGGACACTGCCTTTGTCTCCCGCCTCCTACAGTATATTAGCTGTGAGAGCAGCCCAAATCTCCGGAAAGACACTAGGGTAGTTGCAGTGGGGTTCAGGTTTAGGAGGTTAAGCAATTCCATGATGAAAAAGAACTGACCCACTCACGCTCTACCCAGCCAGCCCAAGCTGTGGACCCTCCCCCAGGCCCGACTGCCCTGCCCCCACAGGCCACGTGCAGGAGGGTGGCCTGGCTCTCCTCTTGGCTCACACTCACCATTTTTTTCCACTGGCACATTGCAGCGAGGACAAGGCTTAGTGGTTTTCTTGATGGTTTCTTTAGAGGCCTCCTCCCAGCGAGCTTGCTCAGCGGCCTTTTTGTCCACTCGGTAGGCCTGGATTGGTAGAGATGAAAGGAATTTAAAATTGGGTCTTCATTACTGGGATTTAAGTCTACATTCCTTGAAGGGCTGGTGCAGATACTTCTCAGAGATGGAAGTGCCTTCAGGCCAGAAGCTTAAATATGAACTTGTTTGACAAGTGCCGTACAACCATTGGGCAAGTGTGGGCACTGTGTTCTTGGCACATGGCAGGTACTTGTGGGCTAAGAAAAGATTGCGCAGTTGTAATGGAGTGCTGTGTTCTGAGAATTTATGTGACTGTGATACATAATACCTAGAATGTGGTTAATATGTAAGCACGTGATTAACACTGCACACGTCTTTCGTTAGACCCTTTGCCATGTGTGAACACACTGGCTGTCCTGTCAGAGGATTCAAGGCGCAGACGGTGAGCAGACACTGGGAAGTGGGAGAGGCTCGTGACTCTACAGTCTTCGCTTTTACTCCCTTCTGCACCTTTCCCCTTACATCCTGCCCCTGGAAAATGGGGGGCTCTGCTGCTATCCCAGAAGGCACAGGAGAGAGAACATGGTGATGACAGAGAGGCAGACTTCTGGAATTGCTGACAGCAGAGATGAGGACCCTGGGCTCTGGAAACGGCTGCCTGGGCTCAGCTCACTCAGATGGAAGACTTGGACAAGGACTGCTCACCCCTCTGAGAGTCCTGTCAGGTGGAAATAAAACACGGGGCACTGAGAGCTGGAGGTTCGTTTCCTTAAGTTCTAAGATGAGCATTGGGCTCGTGCTGTTGGCTGATAATATAAATTCCTCCGGATCTACGGTGTAGTAAAAGCCATGGTGCACACTCACCACCATTCATGCCATCAAGTACAAGACCGTCCTTGACTCTTAACTGCCTGCTATGGGCTGGCGGCCTTCCCCACCCCCCAACATTTGCATGTTGACCACCTGATGCTGTTGAAAACTGATTTAAGACCCCCTCAGCTAGAGAAGGGGCCCCAAAGGAGTTGCTCCAGATGGGTGCTTCCTTCTGCTCCTGCCTGGTTCAGACACTATGGCTAACATAAAGTACCGGCAAGAGCGAGAACATAGAGCAAGAACGAATCATTTTTAGATTTAGTAGAAGGGTGTTGTGATCTGGGACTGTATTTCAAAATGGTAATCCAAATAGAGTCCCTTCATCTTGTCCACTACGGCATCTACTTGTCTATCCATCCATTCATTCATTCATCCATCCATCCACCCACCCATCCACCCATCTATCCATCTGTCTATCTATCTATCCATCTGTCCATCCATCCATCCATCCATCCATCCTTCCATCTATCCATCTATCTATCTATCTATCTATCTATCTATCTATCTATCTATCTATCTATCT